CCCTTTCTCATTTTTTTTTTTTACCCTCTTTCCCCTCCCTCCTCGACCTTTCCTTCCTATTACACAATATCAATTACACATTTTTTTTTTGGTACCGGGGATCGAACTCGGGACCTTGAGCTTACGAGGCAGGAGCCAGAACCACTGAGCTAAATCACCGGCCCTCAGTTACACATTTTTAAAATTAAAATATCAAGACCTAGGAGACATTACCTCAGATTTTACAGAATTTAAAAGGATATAGAAAGCATATTTCAAAAATGTGTTTTGAAATTGATAACTTCTAAGAAGTACCTTGGAAGACAAATTAATGAAACTCTAGAAGAAATATAAAATTTGAATAGCACCTATTAAAGTATTTTCCTAGCTTGAAAACCTACCTATATGACAACAGGCTCGTATACATTTTAACTGATAAATTATATCAAACATTTAAAGCAGAAAAAAAAAAGAACACTTCTCCCCTCATTTTAGGAAATCAACGTTGTGCTAATCCTAAAACTGGATAAAGATAATAGAAGAAAAAAGTAGGAACATAGATAGACATTTGTTTAACAAAACAAACTATTAGAAAAAGTCAGATCTGGTAGTATGTAGAAAGTGGTTTTGTTATAGGGATGCCAGTGTTGGTTCAGCATTGGAAGATCCACCCCCAAAAGTCATCATTTTAACAGTTTTCTTACATTGATCATGCTGTTCCTCTTTTTCAAAACTTTCTTTGAATGGGTGTTGATGATGTTATATAGGTTACTAGGTTACGGAAGGAGGCCTTGGGAAGGAGTCATGAAAGAAATGTGAGAGTGGGGAATTTGGGGATAATTTTCTTGAAAAAAAAATTACAATTTTTTAGAATTTTTTAGAATTCAGAATAGGTAACATTTGTGCAAAGTCTTTCTCAAAGATAATTTTGTATTTGGAACTTTGCTAGTGTGAAGTAATTGACTTACTTGAATCCTGATTTTAGTAACTCCAGTCTCAGCTTTTCCTAACTCTCACCTTTGAATCTATTCCTTCAGTGTTTCTGTCACTCACTTTTTAAAGTGAAATTATTGATATCAGTGATGAAGGCTGCATGTTTCATTGACACTGCAGTTTTTTTCTAATATATTTTACATAAATGTAACAGAAGGCTTTGATAATATTTCCTGGTTTTAAAAGAAATATTTTCATTCTAGAAAATTTGGACAATTAAAGTAGAGATTCCCAGTAGCAAGCAACGTTAGCATTTTCCTCTTTCCAGTGTGTCTTTTTCTGTCTTTATGAAAATGAGATCATACTGCACATAGTCTTTTATTTTGGATTTAGAAAACTCAAATGTTTTCATATCCTTAAATATGCTTGATGATGTTGCAGAATTTCATAGGATGCATGTAACAAATGTTGAATCTAATTTTGGCTTTTATAACTGATTTTATGAGGAGTAACTTTGTTATTAAGTCTTAGTCTACTTATTTGTTTCTTCAGGATTAATTCCTAAAAGAATACTAGTATGTAATTCTATCAACTTTTTAAGGCTTAAGGTATCAGTTTCTCAACTTGGAGCATTCCATAAGCTTGGAAACTAAATTATTACAATTGAAAATAAAACTTTTTCTCATATTCTTAGGTAAACATGGCATCTTGTTTATACTTTTTCTTTGATTGTAATGAATTTTTTCATTTTGTTCTTTGAATTTGTCTTTGTCTCTAAGTTCTGATGACTCTTGAAATTCTTTTTTTGTTTGTATTTTTGAGACAAGGTCTTGCTATGTAGTCCGGGCTGGCCTTGAACTCACTATGTAGCCATGGTTAGCCTTGAATTCTCTGGATCCTCCTATCACAGTGGCATGTGCCACCGCACCTGGCTTTCCTTTTCAATTCTTTGAATTTGGTTATTTCAAGTAAATCATACAGTACCTATTAAAAATCCACATCGTTATGCTTCGTATTTTAAGACTGAATTGAAGTTCTGAGATCTAAATTTAGGAAATAATCAGGGGTTTTTTTTGCCTTGTTATAATTTAGCAATCAAATATCTAATTATAATTAGAAAAATTATTCAAGTTGGGAAGTTTTTAATCACCTTTTACTCATTATTTGTTGAACGGTATGAAATTGAAGATTTTGATTTACTGATTTGTAAATTGGGAAATACGTTTATGTTTCCCTGAGATGGTAAAAACTTTCATGTTACCATTGTAATGGAGTAAAGGTTGTTGAGTGATCTTAGGCAGGGCTAACAGGAATAATCTTATAATACTCACCAATGCTAACTTAAAATTAAGTACACTCAAGTTATAAGTGTAAATTCACAAATAAGTGTATTGCCTGCTAATGATTTTGTTTATTATGGAGAGACTTAATTGAAATTATCACGATTTAGAGGCTCAATTTTTTGGGGGGGGTTGTTTTCTTTTCTAGTACTAGAGATTGAGCCCAGGGCCTTTGCAGCAAGCTACATCACCAGCTTTTAATTTTTTCCTTGAGTCAAGGTCTAGCTAAGTCACTAAATTGTCTAGGCTAGGGTGGAATTTGCGGTCCTCCTGCTTCAGCTTCTCAGAGTACTGAGATTATAGGCGTGTGCCACCACAAGAGGCTGGAAACTAAATGTTTGTAAATTGGGCTGTGTATTATTATGAGTCAAAGAATGTTGTAATGCCAATAGAGCTTAGTGAGATGTTTTCACCTTCAGATGGTGACTTATTGGTAGTTGTTGCAAACACTTTACTGGATTGCATTCAGCACTTTAAAAAAAGAAATAAAAGAGGATAAAACAAATTAGAGTGTATTGTGTATATTAAGAATAGCTCAAGGCCAGGGATTTGGCTCAGCAGCATAGCATTTGCCTGGCAAGCACAAGGTCCTAAGTTCAATCCCTGGTACCCCCCCCCCCAAAAAAAAGCTAAGGTGATGGACCTTTTGGTTATTGTTTGTAGGAATGTATACCTGATATAAGATGTATTATGTGGAGGTCCTAGAATCAGCCACTTAAAGCCACCATTACACAGCTTATTAGTGTTTTAGTTTTCTCATCTGTAAAATGAAAATAATAGTAGCAACCTCGTGAGTTATGAGGATAAAAAGATAATATATATCAAGTGTTTAAAATGGTGCCTTTCCATCTCCAGCATTACAGAAATAAAAGGTTCTTTGAGGTAATGATTTTTAAAATATTTTGGTTAATAGGATTTATTTTATTGTGAAAGAATTGTTGCATCTGCATATTAGTATGATGACTAAATTGCTTTCATCTGTATATTCACAAGTAAAATAATAAATGAAATTGTGAAGAAATAGTCATAACCTTTTCCCATTTTCCCTACACATAACTCAGTTTATATTTTTAAGTACATGAATGTTTTTTAGACATAATCATATTATTATTAACATCAGTAAAGTTAACAATTTTTTGCTGTGCTCAACTACCCAGACCATGTTGTTTTCCCCTCTCTTAAAAATTGTCTCAGAAAGTATCCTCCAAAGTTGGATTGTTTGAATCGGTATTTAAAGTCTACACATTACATTTAGTTTTAAGACTCTTCATCTGTACTAGTATCTACTCCTTTAAATTTTTTCATTAATTTTAAACTTAGAAATAGAGATGCCATTGAACATCTTGTACCATAGTATAGTTATCAAAACTAAGAAATTAATATTTATACAATATAAAAATTAACTACAACTACAGTACAGATTTT